TTAAAGTTAAAAGCTTTAATGTTTTTGTATAGGTATGCACAATTATCTCTGAAGCATGCTGATGAACACATACCTATTATCATTTTTAATTTTCAGTTTGTACTGCAACTTAACTAACCAAATTGTTTGTTCTCTTTTCTTGCATATTGTAATAAAATGCACCATGGAATTGAATGAATCTCTAGTTAGGATTGTTGAATTTAGTTTCAAAATCTTTTTAATAGGGAAATGTTATATGTTAATTTGATCTGTGTGCCAAATTTGTTATGTGCATTCCTTGAACTATATTTTTTGTAACTATGTATTGTTTTATGGGCGAGATGGCTAATAAATTGCTTCAATTTAACCTGGTGAATTCACCTGAAATTTTGGCAAATTGACATTGCCCCTTCTGTCCAACAATATGCCTTATTATCCCACTTATTGGGAGCAAAAGGCAATAAATATATAAAATCACATTTGATCAACAAAATTTAAAGAAAATTCATTTATGGTGTGTTTGGATGAGGAATTTTACAAATTCAAGGAATTTTAAATTCTTGGTATTTAAATTACTTTGATTTCAATTTTTATCATTCTTAAAATATTTTGTTTGGATGAGTTAATTTAAATTTCTTAAAATTTAAATTGTTAGATTGAATATGATAATTTGATTCCACTATAGTAAAATTGATTTTAAAAATATATTTATATGTTGAGATTTTTAAATTAAATTTTATAAAAATAAATATTAATCCATTTTTAAATATTTAATAATTTTAAAAATTAATATTATATAATATTTAATAATTTTAAAAATATTTTTGAATATCCAATAATTAAAAGAATGAAGAGATAAGATAAAATATATAGGTGAAATAAGAAAAATAAATATGAAGAATTTCAAATTCCCCAATTTTTGGGAGAATTTGAAATTCTACTATTTTAAAGAATTTCACAAATGCTTGGATTTCAAATTCTTTATAAATTCTCCATCCAAACAAAGCATTTCACCTCAAGAAATTTGAAATTTTTCAAATAAATGAATTATCCTATGTAAATTTCCCATCCAAACACACCGTTAGGGGGCGTTTGGTAGAAGAGATTTTTTTTTCGTGTTCAAGAATCATGATTTATGGTAATCATAAATATTGGGAATCAAGATTGTTAGAAATGATTAAAATCTGATTAGTTGGTCATAAATGTTTTTGGGAATATTTATGTATGTTATTTGTGAATCAAATATTTTTCTTGCATTAATAAGCAAACAAAGATAACATTAAATTTTTACCATAATAAAACTTAACTTTTAATTTGGGAATGTTGGATTTGCACCTCCCCCTATGGGAACAATCTGTGGAAAACCTGTATAAAAAACATTTTTGGGAAGCAATGTTTTTTAAGAATGTTGTTGTTTTATATAATGAGCCAAACACATGAAATTAACACTCTTAACTTTAGACTGTTGGAAAAGTACAAATTTTCTATCTACCAAACCCTTAGGGTCAAGCTTGTATGATGTTTTGCCAAACTACACATAATTTTCTTTCTTTTTTAGCTTATTGAGTGAAATAGGTGAAGTTGATTTATGGAGTGAAATGGATTAGTTCCAATATTGGAAATCATGGGTAGTTTTGAGAGGTTCAAAGTTGAAGTTGGAAAATTTATCTCCATGTTTCTTATTATTTGTTTTTTCTAATGTGTATACAGACAAGGTGTGATGAAGTTGCTGAAGCATTGGTAGCTCAAGGATTATCTGCAGTTTCTCTTCATGGTGGTCGCAGTCAGAGTGAAAGAGAGGCTGCCTTGCATGATTTCCGGAATAGCTCCACCAACATTTTGGTAATCTCCTACATTACTGGAGCACGTTACTCAATTTATCAGTACATTATTTTTTTTCTCTTATTTTAGCCTCCCCTTGCAAAATCTGTTACTCTACAGTATTTTGTCATGATTCATCTCAACAAATGGTTGTGGATGGATATTTAACAGTTATGAAAATATTGTTGAGAAAAGCCAGCAGTGGCTTGTCTAAATACTGTGAAGCCATCTTTGGTTTGTTTTATTCCCTTTGTTTGCTAAATGAAATTTCTTTTTGTATCAACCGGAGAAATAAAGAAAATGTTAAGAATCAAATGGTTACTTTTATAGTTTTATGTTCCAAAATATCAATTGCACTTCAATTTAGTAAACTCATTAAGGTACTGTGCATTTCATTTTCTGTATGCTTAATAGATGGACCTTTGATAACCATATGTATTCCTTTTTTCTTCAGGTAAATTATGGTTAAAATATTCAATTGCTAGCAATTGTTTCATAATTACATTAAATGAAGTTTGGCATTTTTATCCACTAACAATATTAAATCATTGATACTATATCATTCAGGTTGCCACTGATGTCGCATCTCGTGGCTTGGATGTCACAGGAGTTTCGCATGTCATCAATCTAGATCTTCCAAAGGTACATCTGCTTCAAGCAAAAACTACTTGATGACTGAGTTTTATCTGTAATCCACTAGGAAAGGATTATCAGAAAAACGTACAGTGATTTTCCACTGTTAGTGGATTGCCATTCTGCTACTGCAATGATGGCATTTCATTTGCCTGGTATTTTTCAGTCAAATTTAATTTCCTTGACAAATGCATACCTGAAGCTTCAGTTATGGCTGCCTCAATTATAGACCATGGAAGATTATGTACACCGGATTGGAAGGACAGGGCGTGCAGGATCAACTGGCTTAGCTACTTCATTTTACACTGATCGTGACATGGTGCTTGCTATGCTTCTTTTCTCTTTTTTTGAAAAAAAAGTGAACTGTGCTTTTATTCTGATTTTAATATTGGTATGATTCTGCTCTATAGTTCCTTGTGGCGAATATAAGGAAAGCAATAGCTGATGCTGAATCTGGGAACACACTGACATTTGCAACCGGAAAGGTACTGTTTTATACTGCCAGAATATTAAGACTCTTTTAGTCCATTTGGCATAATCTTAAAAATGAGGGTAAAATTCAAGAAACAATTTTTTACCCATATTCTTAAAAATGGTCCATTTGCAACTAGTGTTTTTACCCATGTTTTAAAAGCCCACTAAGGTTGGCCTAATGGTGTGGTGTTTGGATAGTTTATAGGAGGTCTTGGCTATAAACCTCATCCGATATTACACACACAAAAAAAACGATAACTAGGTTGGCATAATGGTGGGGTGTTTTGGATAGTTTATTGAATCGGGCTTGTGCTAGTTGTATTGCTAAATTGATAATTGACCTTGATTAGTGGTATACATAAGTGTTGGAGGTTTGTGTCTAACAGTCCAAGATGCTCAATTTCTCCCAAACACTTTCATTTTCGGTATATTATATTTAACCAATGTGTCATAGTTGACTTTGTGCTCTTGGCTTCTAGGTTGCTAGAAGGAAGGAGAAAGAAGCAGCAGCTGCACAGAAGGAGGCAAATATTGCTTTATCCAAACAGTTAGGATTGGGAGCTTCTTCAATTAACATTGAAGATAAGTATAAATTCATGATTACTGCCGCAAATGTTAAAAGGGAGGGTGCAGCAGATAGTGCCTGGGATGATTAACGAAGTGTCTGGTGCTTCCCTTATTTGAGTGATGACAACTGCTAAAGCCTTCAAGGTTGGTAATATATATGACATTTAGTTATTTATTTTGGGGTGGGGTTGTTTCCATATTCTCAGTGGTCTGTCTGGTTTAGTCAAAAACCTACTTATCATGGCTCCAATTTCTACAATTTTTTTTCCTCTCCAGCCTATGTAATGGTTTCCCTGTGCATATTGTTTTGTAGTGTTGGTGCATAATTGAGTGCATTTACTTCTAAGAAGCTGGAGATAGAGAAGTTTCCAAGTCTACGTATTGTTTCACACCGTTTTTGTGGCCAGCACGCTTGTAACAAGTAGCTTGCTAGACGCCTAGGTGCTTTGTAGAGTTGTCATATAGGTAGTTTATCTTATGTAATCCTAGGAATTTAAGTTTTTCTTTTAAATCTGTGTTGCGTCAAAAATACCTTTATTCGCAGATATTTCATCATCATTAAATGTATATATCCAGCTTGCTCCATTTCACACCTATGGTTTTGTTTGTGTTGGCACTTCTGAGCGCGTGATTGTGCTCATCTTTTTTGGTTGTATTTGGTCTCTCTCTGTTCTTAAACTCACGTTGCACGTGACATTCAATTTTGATGTTACTAATTGAACAGTCATTTTTGTTGATAATTTTTTTTAGCGTGTTGAATAATTCAGAAGTACTATACTTGGTAAGGTAAATATCATGAACTTAAGAGGACTGAGACGTTCCTTAGGCCAAGATATTAGATACTCTTCGAGTGAGAAAATTAAAAAGCGAATTAAATGTAAGAGAAACGTTTGTTTAAGAGTTTGATATTATGCATTTTGTATTATACACTGGTCTTTAATCTCCGAAAGAAATCATTTCTATATAAACTCTTTATGCAGTGACACACATGACATCGTTTTCCCTTCATCTTCCTCGCGTTAAAAGAGGTTAAAAGGTAAGGGAGTAAGGCGAAGTTGGGCGATAAGAGAAATGATTTTAAGATGAGTAACAAAATATTGGAATAAAGATGAGTAACTAAACACTATTATAAAAAGTAATATAATAAAATATTATATGAATCACATAAATCAAATGATAATAATGAACATATCTTTATTATAAAACCGAATTTGCCACAGAATATATCACATTCAATGCGACATAAAGCCAACTTCCAACTCAACAGAAAGATGCCCCAATTTGCTGGTCAACAGACATAAACAGTTTTTAGTCTCTTCTATTTATGGGCCTTCTCCTCAACAAGAGGTGGCCCTTGAGAGCTTCCTAACTGAACCAGATGACACTTCAAAAAATCAACATATGTAAACAAGACAAATAATCACAAACAATAAAAAATTACTACCACTTCTAAGTTCTACCTTCATAACCTTGGGTGATATATATTACACACCCCAAAGTAGAAGAAAGACATGTAGATATAGAAATAGTAAGGATAAAAAGAAAAAAATTGTACAAGTTGACATGCAAGCCATGCTGATATATTTATTAGTTGGCCAAAAGAAGAACACTCTTCTGCCATATGAATGCCTGCCGAAGTTGTTTATACCCGTTTCTGTAATGCTCAAGTGAGAAGCATAGCTGCCTTATGGCCTCACGTTTCTCTTCAGCACTTTCTAAGATCACAACCCTTTGCTTTTCAATCTCATTATCTCTCAAATTTATCACTTCCTTAAGTGAATCAATTTCTGCATTGAGATTATCTCTCTCTAATTTCAAAACACCAAGTCTTACATTCACATTTTCTATATTTCTCTTCTTTTCCTCAATGTCTTCCTTTAACTTGTCAATTTTACCTTTGAGTCTCCCTTCCATCTCTACTTTTTCAGAGTGGATATTTCTGATCTCCTCTTGAGATGATTGGCATTGACATTCCAACTCTTTCTTCTTCTCCCAAAGAGTCTGTCCCCCCATCAACTTGGTCATTTCAGACTTCATATTTGCCCTCTCAAAGAAGATTTTCTGTTCAACATCAGATAAAGAAGTCTTCAAGTTCCTAATCTCTTGATCCCTTTCTGCTATACTATTCCTCATCTTCGCAAGCCTTTCTTGGAGTTTAGAGTTCTCTCTTTTCTGAGTGTTGAGTTTGTTTTTCCAACTAGCAATGTCCTTCTGAGCCAAGTCAAGCTGTTCCTGCAATTGCTGAATTGTCTCAAACGATTTAGTAGCCCCAAATTTCAATGAAACAATTTGCACTTCTGAAGACTCAAGCTTTTCTTTTGTCAACCTCAGCTCCTCCTCAAGTTTCTTCAACTCCAAGGCATCTCCTCCCATCCTCATCCCTTCTCCAATTGAAGATAACCCATCACCACCCTTCAAATTTTCTGATTCCATTGACCTATATTTTTCAAGCTCAATCCTCAGCCTAGAAATCTCCCCTTCTGAAAGCCTCAACTTCTCATTCACATTCCTCAACTCTTGCTCATACGCAATAATCTTGCCACGTAAATCTTCACCATTATTCTCTTTCCCCTCAGCTAGCTCAGTCTCCAAATCCATCACCCTTCTGTGAATATTATTTTGATCATTTCCACTCCCAAAGAAACCTGGCAAACTATTAATAGACGAAGCATCATCATAATCCTCATCAGATTCCGTCAAAGTGGTGGAAGATCCATCTCCATCTTTCTGACATGCATCAAAGCCTTGCACGTTCCCGCCAGATCCAAGAAAAACATCAAACCCCGCAGCACGGTTGGTGCATATGCGACGCCCCATCTTTCTAGGAGAAGGCATGTGAGAGGGTGGCTCAGAACCATTGTCAGAAACACACGAAGCTAGCGATAGAACATCACACGGTGTGTTGTTGTTGTGATCAATGCGTTCAACCAAAGATTTGTAGCCACGGTAGAACTCTTCAACGAGGGAAATCAACTCTGGCCTCTTCTGGTAATACATCTCAGCCTTTTGCGCAAACGAGTCACCACCCTCTTCAATCAGCTTCAGCATTTGCTTCACGTTGCGTTCCATCTCTGAGGTTAAAGATCTTTTTGTCATTTTCTTCAAAGTCATATATAGGATGCTTTGAGAATTCAGGTTCTCAGGAGAATAATAAAAAAGATAAGAAATGAGATTGAATCTTGAATTAACCACCGTTCCACCCTTCCCAACTGTTGCAAAGTTGGGAACGGTGAAATCGTTTTTCGAAGTATGGTTTTGTTTTGTGGGAGAGTAATGAGACAAGATATAATGACATGATGATACCAACGTTGTTTTTTGTTTACTTGTTTTAACTTTTCCTTTTTTAGAATGTGCAAGTGCCTACACATGTCGGTTTGGAAGAACAGAAGATATGACACCGTTAACAGTATACAGGTGAATTTATGGATAATGACTGCTACTTAATTTGTTAAAAAGAAGCTATTCTAATATATGCTGTGTTGTGAGGTTCAATATTTATAATAAATGGACCAAAATATTCCATTTTTGTTTTTGATAAAGATAATTTTCCTGTTTATCTTAAAGCTACAGGTACATCAGTTAGAAGTTGACTGATATTCCTAAGAAAACAAAAATATATAATTTTTATTAAAAATATTTATTATATTTAATGTTTACTTTTTAAGTAATTAAAAGTATTCAAACAAATACATATATTTCTTAGTCCATTTCCATATGGTAATTAAGCGTGATCCTATTTTCTACATTAGTGTAGTAAAAAGTCAATCTTATCAACAATTAATAGGGGTGAGGTAAAGTTGAATGGGGTTTGACAAAAATTAAATTTTGAATCGATTAAATTTAGAATTTAATTAATTAATATTTAAGATTTTATAAATGTATTTCTAAAAATAAGATTTAGAAAAGATAAAATTTTAAATTATATATTCATGTATTTTATTTTTATTTAATTGCACTTTTTGTTATCTTGCTATCTACATTTTGTGATATTAGTGCCTCCTTTTTTTTTTTTTCTTTTCAAATTTTATCTCCCACTAAAAGCTAAATTTGCGAAATGGACGTTACCAGAGAAACCAAAAGTATAATCAAAATATTTGTTTCTTTTGAAAAAAATCAATATCAAAAAATTAAGAAGAAAATTTAAGGTTGCTGGATCATGAAAAATATATCTAATTATAATAATAACCAAATTACACTATTTTAAAGCTAATTTAACCCCAAATTAATCTAAATTTAAGAGATTATTAGCTTTAGACTCCGATAATATTGTTTTGTTTTATTTTGGCCTTCTAATGTGTATATGCTAGTTCCACAACTGAATTAATGAAATGCAAGATCATTGAAATCATGAAAGTAACAAACAAGGCACACTATTAAACTATGGTGCATTGGTGCGGGTACCCTAAGAGTTTATACATAGGTTGATAATATATATAACAATATTAGTCATAAGTTGAATAACATATCAGAGAGCAAAAATTACATTCTTTTTTGACACTCAATTTATTTGCTTTGCTTTGTTTTGCTTTTGTCACTGATGAAGGAAATGCAGAATCAGAAGATTAATTATTCCAATTATAGTTGCATTAGCGTTACATACCTTGAAGTTTTTCTGAATGACACACAGAAGTCTTGGACCTGAAGAGTTTTCCCAACCTCAAGCAATGCAACTTTTTTTCCATCCTTGTTTCTTAGAAAGAATCTGAAAAATAGAAGGAGATTGCTGTTGTTGTTGTTGTTGTGTCTAAATCCACTTGAAAAGGGTTAGCAGAAAAATCAAAAGGATTTCACTCTTCAAGACTTAATTATGTATTAAGGGAGTGATGAAATTATTTAAAAACGTGAGAGCCCATCAATACTTATACAATAAAATAAAGAGTATGTTTGGATAAGCTTAAAAGAAACTTTTGGGAGCTTCAAACAAAAGAACTTTTTAAAAGAATGAGATATAATTAGAAAACAATGAATATCATTTTTCCTTTAGATATATGAGCTTTATTGTTGCCTTTGTTTTAATAACAAAATTTTCATACGAGGTTGACTAATGGGTATTTGAGATTCTATATGCAATAGTTGCATTAGAAAAATTTAATAATATGGAGAATTTTTTTTTTTTTTTTTTTTTTACTTTTGTAATACAAAATTAGCCATTATTAAATCTTGTAAAATATAATTTTGATACTTCACATTTTGGGGGTAAAATAAAATTTGGAAACTAAATCTTTTAAAATTGACAAATCAGTTGAATCATTTAGTTCTTCCTTATTTTGTTTGAACACAAATAAGATTTCATTAAATTTAGTTTTGAATATTTTCTTTCTGTTAAAATTACAGTCAAATGAATAGTTAATTGTTGCAATCACAATCGTGACGAGACAGGGGGAAATTAAAATGAATAAAAATTGCAGCCGTCGCTAAAATTTATTTTTATTTGGAAAAGCATTTGAAAGAAATACATAAAAGAATAATTTTAAACTCAATATTAAATTCAAGAATCAGTAACTCATAAAGAAACATGTATTAACACCTTTGACGTCTATTATAAAAATAGTTACCTGAACCCAATGCGTAAAAGTAACTATTGTCATGCTCTCTTGTTTGAAAAATTATTAATTTGGAGAACTTTAGGAAGGGAGTATATTTAAGAAAAATATTTGTAATAAGCTCGACAAGGTATGGCATTTGCTTTTATGTATCTTTATATGTAATAAAGAAATCAAAACTATGTAACTCTTTTAATATAAAATAATTTATGGGTTGATGAATTTTGTATCATATTCTTATAAGATATTTATAGGATTTTTGTTTAGACAAGGTAAGGGTAAGGAATGCCAAGCTATAACATCTTAGGCATTTCTTGATATCTAAAGTCTCAAGTATATAAAATGTCAATAGCAATAAGTGACCGAATAGATGTGGGACATTCATTAAGGAACACATTTTAAAAAAAGATTTTTATAATAACTAAATAAAAGTTAGATCTAAAATAGTAATCATTTTATTTGTTTGAAATATAGATGTATTAAAAATTGTCAAAATGCCTCGAAGAATATTAACCATAACAATAAATGTCCTGATAGTTATTATATATATTTTTAGAAAACTACATATTGCATATGAAGTTTTTATATATATTATTATTATTATATATATTTTAATATAGAGTTTACATTTCACACTCAATCTAATTTCAACAATAATAAAGGGAGACATGTCATGAAGGGTGGTTAGTATACTTAGACCTAAAGATAGTTCTCCTATTTTAAAACAATAATGATCAATATTTAGAACTAAAAACATTAAGTGATAAATCATTAGAGCCGATCTAATGTTGGGAGATGGAATTATACATACTAGGTCTTAAGTTCAAACGTTGTTGTTGTTATTGTAATTTTTATAATTAAATAAAAGAATAAGAAATCAAAATTAAAATATTGGTAAGGATGTGTTGGTAAAAGTTGAATCATTCAATCCAAACTACATTTTATTGAATTTGATTTATATTTTTTTAAGAAAACAATCTAAACCGAATTGAAGCACAAGTTATTTTTAATGTTTAGATCATGTATCTTTGTCTCAAAACTAATCTAAATCAATCTACGAACACCTCAATATGACACAAATCCTACTTTTGAATTACGAAGGAAAGCCTTTGGGATAAAGTCGGTCCAAAAATGGGGCAATAAATACAGGCAACCAAATTAGGTTATAATGGGGTGAGTTTAGCAATAAGAATGATTAAGTTTTCAAAAAAATTAATAATATAAGAAAATGAATACAAATGAATTGAAATAATGGTGGATCAAGCATATGAATCTTACATATGGAGAAGAGTTAGGCCATAAATCCTATTTTTGAAAAGAGAAATAAAACTCTTTAGATTTAAAGTTAGCCCAAGCATGTGGACTAATAAAATGAAGACAATCAAATTATGGGATGAATTCAATAGGAAGAATGATTAGGTTTTCTCCAAACAAAATGAAATAAGAAACTGAAAACAAATCAATTAAAATAAGACAATTGCTTCTTGCACCCATTTTTTTTAGTTGCATATATGTCTTTTTAATACACTTTCCAAATTATTCTTACTTTGGTGAGTTCTTTCCCAAATACTTATTTTTGAGGTTACATTCTAGAACATCAAATCCATAACTATGTAATTTCAGAACACTTGTTCTTGATTTTTGTCTTTCTAGAATGCACAATTCATAACACCTAATTCTATAAAATTATTTATCTCTTTCCAAATCAACATTGTCTATAACATCCCATTTTTTAAAAAATAAATTAGAATAAGAGAAATATTTTTTATATAATAAAATAAAATGGGGAGAGGTTAAACAAAAGATTGGACTAAACTCTAGGTCTAATCGGAGATTAATTGAAAGAAGAAAAATGGAAGAGATTAGGTTATTGCGTGCATCTTCTGAAACCTAGAGCACTCACAAAAGGAAATCTAAAGGAGGCCATCGAGAAAGACACGGATTAGCAATTGGAGTTATAGGAAGTGCGTTGTTTCACATTCTAGGTTGGAGGAGTGAGATTGTCAAATCTATTGGGCATATACGAGAGATAAAGGTAGAGGGGCGATCCTTAAGTCCTGTAGATTGTTGAATTTGATCTATGTGACTGCTTATGAATGAATTAATGTTTTATCCTCTTATATTATATGAATTTAGTTGTTGATTAACATTGGATTGGATTGTTAGTGTAAATTAATGTATTTGTAAATTAAGATATATTGTGTATGAACTCGAGAAGTTTGATGGATTGAATGAGTTGCATAATTTGATGGTATTTTATTATTATTATTTAAGGGTGGATAATCTAATTGATCGATCGAATGATGAATTGAAATAATTGATATGTTTGTATGAAAATTTTGAGGAAATGATAATTATTTAAATAATTATTTTGTATATTTAAATAATTTCTTTATACATTTTAAAGTATAATTGAGGACCTGAGACGAGATACTAAGACTAAGAATTAAGAGAAGTAATTGATGAATAATGTTGTGAAAATTGTATATGTATTACTGATGTTGTTTGAATAATCTATCTTGAAAAATAATGAATATTGTAATGATATATATATATATATATATATATAGTAATTGGTAATGATGTGTAAAATTATGAAATCTATTGTATTGATATCTATGATGATGTACGAAGAGTTATGTTGAAATACTATTGAATGATTATGATGGATTGTGTGATGAAGTTTGATATGCTAATATGATGATATTGTATACGGAGTTATTTTGGAATACTATTATATTAATTT